GACAGTAATTAAGGGGCAACAGATACAGTAAAATATATACTTTGGCTGAAGAAACTCTGGGTACAAAAATCAAGCTCCAAATCTAATTAATCAGAAAGCATTTGAGAAATATGACAACTGAAATTAAGCTTCAGGCTTGTCACAATGATAATATATTAACATTACTCACTATACTTGCCACATCGGTACCAACAGCTTCTCAGTTCTCAGAAGCTGGTTAGAAACTTCGACAAAAAAGGATTTGTTCCATGTACAAAACCATATACATAATAAAATGATTACATATTAACAACAAAAACAGGAAGATTACAGATGTTAAAGTGACGATGCCATAAGCATCTTCCAAAGGGTTAGATGTAAAAGCCAGATCTCTAATATCATCAAAGCTAGCTTTTACTCATGTTCCGCCATTTATCTTTCAAGTTTACATTTGTTCTTCCCTTAAATATGTCTTCATATATATCCTTGATCATTATCCAATTCTTACCATATTCCTTTACTGCTTCCCTCAATTTATCCTCTTCTTCTGGTGTCCATTTCTTCCTTTCTCTCATTGCATGAAATTTTTTCTCAGCATACGGATCCAAAGCAGACGGCCTACTCCTCTTTGGACTAGGAGGTAAGCATAACCCACCTCTGCCCACATTATCATCAGAATCATCCCATTCATATGTATGACTGGTGCCATTGGGCTCCATTATACAACGTTTAGGCCGTTCCTTTGGAGTACGAGTCTCACTGCCTCGAGCATTTCCAGTAAGCTTATCTTTCTTCTCTACATTTTCAGAATTATTCTCAATGGTTTCTCTAGGTGCATGGATTACTGGTTGTGTCTGCTTTGGTAATACAGCATCATTGTTCATGTCATGATTTTCTACAGCAGGTGTATGACTAGTATCATGGTTACCTGCAGCACCTGTACAAGGCAAGGTTTTAGCTATTTCAAGAGCTTTAGGAAGAGGATCTGTCACAGACACATGCAGCTCCCTGGAACTGGTCTTAAGAGCTTCTTGCACTCTCCTCACTTCAGGTGTTACATGTACAACAGGTGGTCGTGTCTGCTCATTTGTAGCATCCACGCTACTCGTGTTGTCTGTTGCCTTTGTAGATGACGGGTCATGATCTTGAGAGGCATCAAGACAAGAATCAATCACAGCAGTATGTGGCTGCAAGGACTGAAGTGCTTCTTGCACTTCGTCCATTTTGTGGATCGGGACGCCATTGTCCTTGCATGACAAATTATGAGCAGCTTGAGAAGCTCCAATATGAGAATCACTTACAGCAGCATGTGGCTGCAAGGAGTTGGATTGATGTGCTTCTTTTATTTTGCCCATTCCATGGTTCAGGACATCATTGTCCTTGCATGACACATTATGAGCTGCTTGTGAAGCTCCAGCACGAAAACCACTCACAGTAGCATGAGGCTGCAAGGAATTGGATTGAAAAGCTTCTTGTACTTTTTCCAATTCACAGGTCGGGACATCGTTAACCACGTTCATAGAAGATTCAGCTTCTTCATTAGCTTCAGAAATCTTTGCACCTCTGGGATGTCTAGTCTTCACTGCAACATGTTTCCGCCGAACTAAAGTCTGACCTTTCAGCAGCCCACCTGAAACAAATACAGATTATTTAATAGTGAAACCTATATCAAAGTCAGAGAAAAATATTACTTCCTCCGTTCTTTGCACCACTTGCCATTTTAGGAAGTTTCACAAATATTGCACCATTTCCTCTTCAGGAAAAAACTTATTTGTGTTCACACTATAAATACCCAACATACCCTTGCCTTTTCACACTTACTTTTTAGTTTATCAATATGTCACATGGGCAATTTTGTATTTTTACCTTTCTCTCTCTTACTTTTTCCAACTACCAAAATATTAGCACCCAATCCCTATAGTAAATAATAAAAAAACGGAGGAAGTACAAGATTTCAAAAATCAAAGTTGTAAAGAAAAATGTATTACTCTCTCCGTCAAATTAGTCTCATTTCACTCAAAATTCTTGTCCCTAAAAAATTTCATTTCACCTTTACCAATTTAATTATTCAATTTTAATTTTCAATCAACCAAACCCCATTATCTTCCCTTTTTTTATTCAAATTTAATTAACAAAACCCCTCTTACTTTTTTTATTCACTTTTTTAATCAAACAAAACCGGTTATCTTTTTTTTAAATTTTTTTTTTTTATATATTTACTTATAATCAAACAAACCCCGCTACCTTCTTATTCAATTCACATTCCTAATAATTTGTGCAAAAGCCAAATGAGTCTTTAATTTTTTATTTTGGGACAGAGAGAGCACAATATTGCAGAAACACGTGCATTGGAAGAAAAACCATCTTAGTTCAACATTTGTCCGCAAGTATGTAAACAAAAGGTCCTTAGAAGAACTCAAGATCAATAATCAACAAGCACATGAGCTGAAAACAGAATTACAGAGCATCTGCCTGCTTCAAAGTCATAATTGCGGCTAAATTACCCCAAAAAGGGACCAAAAACCAGTGGAGAAATACACATAGAAATGTATCTAAGGAGCTCTGCAAGACATCAAATTCATCTTTCTGAAAAATATGATCATATGATACTAATTTTCAATTACAGAGTACTAAGCATGCATGGAAACCATTCCCTCCCAAGAAAAAAAATATACATAAAAACCAATTCAAGGGAGAAGAAAACCATCACCTACAGCTCAAACAGATACAAAACCAGTAAAATTACCGACTGATTAGCATAGAGCTGGAAAATCATGATAATGTGTAGTGTTCACATTTACTCCTTGCTGGTTTAAGGTTATTAAATGTATCAACTTTACAAGCTCCCTCATAGTACAATACCATTAGTCAGATGTGCTCTGTAATTAATATAGTATGCTGGTGGCCTGATTCTATTTGCAAATCAAGAGGAATAACCGACTCTTCTATTGGCAATCAGAAGGCACCATAGCACTAAAGGCAGCAACATGACACTAATCCCTTTCACCCCATTAACAACAACATCAAAGCCTTAGTCCCAAAATGATTTGGGGTCGCCTTACATGAATTGTCATAAGGTACCACTCCCTTTCACCCCCATTTTTTAAAAAATGATGTAGTAACCATACAAGAATATTTCAAAACAATACTAGGATTCCACTTTTCTGCCTATTTCAATTGAAGAATACCTACTACCAGACTTTTTGAGCTATATAGGACAATACCCTTCGTATATAGTACAAAGTCAACTATGGACATTAAACAGATGAAGGGTCAACTAGAAAAACGCTACTCCGTATATGTTATCACAAGGGTAAAGGTTGAATACATTCGATTCCAACTTCTGTAGGCACATTAAATTGACTCTAATGTAATATGGAGTGCTAAAACAGAATTCAACTATGAGTCTATAATTCCTAAAGGCATCTGGTAAACATTCAAGCTGCCTCATTTCTCAACAAAAGTATCACAAACTTCATTCGATCAAATACCGGTTCTTCATATGGCTTTTTTCTATGATTTGATGATCTATGCAATGCCACTTCTGACTAAAATAGTAGAGCCACAATAACTCTTCATCAAACAAGCTATTCTATAATTATAAATTGACATACATAATTAAACAACAAAAACCAATAACAGAACAAGAAAAACCAACAATTAGCCAAAATCAAACAAATTCTACCTTGACTAGCAGCCAATTCGCGACACGGATTATCCGAACCCACGACATCACCACCGCCATCCTCGCAAAAGCCGAGCTTCTCCACCTCATACCCAAACTTGGACGCCACCAATTCAAGAAATGTCGGTCCCATACACTTCCAAGCTTCCTTCAAATACCCTCTAACAGCCTTCAAAGCCTCATTCCTAGTATTCCTCATCAAAATCTTCTCACAAACACCAGCATCCCAAACTGCAGCTTCGACATCCGCTAACCACTGGTTCGATTCCTCCGACGATAAACCCTCCATTTTACAAACCCTATTCCTCCAAATTCTCTCTACTGCTTCGAAATACTTCCCATTTTCCTCCACATTTTCCTCCAAAAATCTCACCGTACAATCCACTGCAACCGCACAATACGCCTTTTTCATCAAATCCGACGCCGTTTTACCCGCTCTATGATTCAATTCCTCGAGAAATTCGAGCAATTCTAGAAGCTTCTCGGACACTGAACCATTTGAAGTCTCTGATTCGATTTTTCGCAGAAGTATCGTCTTCTTCAAGCGACTATCTTTGTTGGAGAAAGGAAGACTTGAGAGTACGCCATTGATGATCTTCTCGTCAATTGGCATTCGCAAGAGGAATTCTAGTATCCATTTTGCCACTTTTTCGTCCATTATTTCACTGATATATGAACCCTAATTTTCAAATTAGCGGGAAATTAGGAAATTAAGTTTGAAGATTGAAGGTTATTTAGGGTTTGGAAGAAGGGATTGAGTGTCTAGGGCTTTAATTTGTTTCATAGGCTTGAATTTCGTCTTTTAGGGTTTGGAGATTTGGGACGACGGGAAAATTCTGAAATTATGAAATTTGGAAGTTTCAGTAAAATTGCCCAAATTGGTGTATAAATACGAAGTATTTCAAGTTATTTGTTAAAAAAAAAAAAAAAAAAAAAACCCTCTTATGTAATAAAAATTGCTATAGAGTTTTTAGTTTAATTTTGATTTTGTTTTTTTAGGGATAATTTAATTAGAGTAAGAAACTTTGTTTTAAAGTTTTTACTTAATGTCATCAATTAATTTGTTAGGAGTAAATATAATTACTCCGTATAAAAAATTATTAGGAATAAATAATTAATACAATTCTGTCAAAAATAAAAAAATAATACAATGGGTAGATTTGTATTACATACCAAGTACTTATTTATTTGTAAGATATTCTGTCATATCATCCAAGACAATTAGACAACGATTTATTAATTGGTGAACTAATATGAAGTGATTCCGTCATATCATCCAAGACAATTAGACAACGATTTATTAATTGGTGAACTAATATGAAGTGATTCCGTCATATCATCCAAGACAATTAGACAACGATTTATTAATTGGTGAACTAATATGAAGTGATTCCGTCATATCATCCAAGACAATTAGACAACGATTTATTAATTGGTGAACTAATATGAAGTGATACAATTGTATGCTACATTGATTCTTAACTTGGTTTAGTGGTAAAGATTATACCTTCCTCTGAAGGTTTAATTCCCACTAGAGACACTAAGGTTATCTGGACAATAATTTTTAGAAATATGAAAAAGACGCCGTAGCAAACCCACATGTATCAGCTCCAACTCTCCAAATGAATAAAATGGTTGTGCAACAGTCCCATAACCTCAGACTGCCCTCAAAATTCCGAATTAGGCAGCCGCCCAACGTTGCACAGCAAGTTTATATTTAGTCTCTTTAGGTAAGCATCCATACCAACAATGCAGATGCACTAGTTGGCCGTCTTGAGATTCAATTATATCATACGTGCAGACACGATATAGAGTTTCATAAACCTAAGATAAGTGCATGGCCAATCGGCCAACTTATCAAGGCCATGTACCATGTGTATTAACATGGTGCTAATGCAGACATTCAAGTCTACTTTACAAATTGCATGGAGATACTGGTTAAGTACATCAGTACATGAAACCAAAGTGTTCCACCATATGTTTTAACACTGAATCAAAATAAACAAGTCCAAAATCTGACTCCTCTCATCTAGCAGCCCCAGCAAAAGATGGTGCAGTCCGCAGATTCAACCAAAAAACTCATTCCTTCTTTGACTTACCAAACAGCAATCCCAATGAATATATATTCCCCTTTTTTTCAGTCGCTTCTACTCGTCTTGCACCGATCTTGCAGTGACAAAATTGCCAGATCAGCAATTAGGAAATGGCAGCATGAAATGGGGAGAGGGGAAAGGAAGAAAATAAAAATTCCTGAGTCCTCGGCCTCCAAAAAGAGACGCTAAGTCAACAGTCATAGTGAGTAGAAAGGAAACTAAATCAATTGATGAATCGTCTCTATTACAACATCTACAAGTGCATGACATGCACACCTGCTAATATCCCACATGCAAACAGAAAACATAAGATATTAGTCTCAACTCTCAAGCTTTGAAATTATCCAACTTTTTGACATGCAAGGCTTGCAGATGTAATTTCTAACAAGTCAAAATATGCAAATGTCTATAAATGGAACCTTTGGACAAAGCTGAAAGACCACTCATTGTTTTGAGGTAGGGAGACTACACATTAGGGATGTTGCAGTTTACTTTAAAAACATGGAACAAATTCATAGTGTTAGTGTGGGGGAGTCGTATAAACACAGCAGTTTAATTAAGGGATTATTATAGTACGCAAAAATTTAACCAGCAACTGAGCCATCAGCTCATCTCAAGTGTCGCAGAGACGACCACAAAAAGAATGGACAATGTGAGAAACCAATGACATAAAATGAAAAAAGCAATACCTTATCCATGAGCCAAAAGCCAATTGTTGGCATGTATTGCACCAAATACATCACTCCAAGCACGGGCTGAGAAAGTAAAGGAAAATTTAGCATGCAAGCCAAACCAATATACAAAGGTCCAATTAATTGAAGAGAGGGAGAAACATGAGTGACATCAATCAAAAGCATGATATCTATTGTGCAAAAAAAAAAATTAGGTCTTATTGCAAAGAAAAGATACATATGTACAATGTACTATACAAGTCGAAAGGTGCTCAGTGTAGATCCAAAATAGATGATAAGAGTACAGTAAGGTCTGGATGCAAGTGTATTCTTACTATTAGTTTCCAGTCTTCCACATAAAACCAGACACATGATGCCTTTCCAAGGCACCAGCTGCATGTATATTGCACTCTTTTAATTGCAAGTGTAACCATCTTACCCTACAGAAACACATTTAATCTTTTATGACTCTATGAGTCTCCTCTTTCAAATGACATTTAGATCCATCTATCACGTGTCAAATGAATAACCCTGAAACCTCAGTCCACTGCCCTATAAGGTCCCCCCAGAGAAGAGGAGGTGGGTCATGCACTCATGCGACACTGAATGATATAGAGTCAGGCAAAAGGCTACCTTGCTGTACCTAGGATTTGTAACCTTAAGACAAATACACTAGTATTACTAACTGATTAGGGGATTTTAACATTTGATAAGTATTTAAGGACAATAAAGTATCTAGTACAATAATTCTTTCTAAAGACAAACACAGCTACACAACTGAATACCATTCACATCTTGAGGTGTAAAAAACATTATAACTGACATCCCAAACTCAATGAAAACAGAAAAAATAACTTACTTGATATGATATCCAAACTTCCTTCAGACCATGACTAGCAGCAATTATTGTGAGTTTAGCACACCTTTCAGCAGAGAGACGCTTCTGCGACCACTTAGAAGTTAGAGCCAGGAAATTCAAAGCTAGGTGACAAAATCCCGAAAGTCTTTGAAATAGGATCAAGGTGACTTCAAATGATTTAATGATAGCTAACTGAATCATTGATTTTTAAAAAAATGCTAGGGGAAAACAATAAAGGTTAGACAGAAAGGCATTAATCAGTGTGAAAAATTGCAAATTAAACAATTTGTAAACTAGAACAGAGACCAAATAAAGTGATTAACTAATTTGTCTGTCTGCCTTGTGGGGGTGGCACGTTAGCACTGCTGTTGACCAGTTGTAGACCTTGTAGCAGTAAGAGAAAATACAAAATTATAAATTGATTCTCACATCAAGCATATTCGGTATGGTCAATATTTCCATCCATCTTGTGGTGATTTAGGCTATGTTTACTTCCGAACTTATTATTTCTGCTATATCAAATTGTCTGATTTTACCAACCTTTGACCTTATATGTACGCTAATAAATAAAAAAAAATATATAAAATGGGGTCTTATTAGATTTATATTAATGTTTATTTTTTTTAAAAAAAGTTTCATAACTTTTTTCATTACGGAATTAAATATGGTCAGCGACAAAACAGAAATCATGCTAATTTTGCATACAAATAGAAGGCAAAAAGTGATCACATATACTTATAATATGTGCTAAGAGAAAACATCAAAATAAAGATGAAAAAACTACAATATGATAATATAATGCACCATAGAATGAACAATAGCACTGACCTCAGTAGAAACATTTGTTGATGTCTCTATTGGACCAGGGCAAACAACAGTTACCTTGATTCCTTTCTGAAATAGCTGCATGTGCATAACCAGACATTTATAAGTTCTTCAGAAATCGAGTTAATGCAATAGTCTATAATCAGCCCATAAAAAAATTATGTACCATTTGGGGAAAAAAAGGGAAAAAAGAAAAAAAGTTCTGGGGGTTGAATATATAAACTGTGATTCTGTGATTTTTTTAAAAAAAATAAACATGAACTGTGGATTTTTCATTGAGGAAGCGTGGAGTACCTCTGAGCGCAAGCAATGGAAGTACCCATTCAAGGCAAATTTAGAAGCACAATACATGGCTTGACCTGGTGCAGGTGTCTTCCCAGCAGCACTACTCATCTAGCAGATGTAAACTAATCAGATTAGTATACTTAGTCACAAATTCCTCTCCTCTAGAGATATTTGAAAGTAAAGTACCACTCTTAAATTATAATAAAAGTTTTAAGGTACATACCACCACAAAATGACCCCTCCCCCTCTTTAGCATGTAGGGAGCAAGTAATCTGGTCAAAGATATTGTCCCAAAAACATTTACATTGAATGTAGCCTATACGAATAAACATATTAATCAGCTCTGTAAAATGAAGATATCCCAATGACAGTGAACTATTTGAAGCAATGTGTTCTAAGCTGGGAAGGTTGTGATTGTTCGTGATAGTTTGACCAAAAATACCTTAAGGCTTTCTTCTGTGACATCTACAGCTGCAGCTTTCTGCAAAGATTTAACCAAACCATGGTTATAGATAAAATGAAATATATAAGGGCATATATAAATTCTGTATTACAAAGTAGCATAAGGTAAATACTGTATTCTAAGGGGTGATGGGAGTAGTCTAATAATTACAGAATAAGAACTACCCTTCAGCATTATTACTAATTAGGATATTGAGAAAAGGTAGGTTCACCCAATACACTTTTCCAAGCTGCACTTTATGAAACACTAAGTGGTGTTTTCAAGATAGAGTTTCAACTGAATATAGTTGTTCTTATAATTTTTACAGATTGAGAATTTATCTAAGGCATTATCAGTCATCCATACTAGTTTCGAAAATAGTATTTACTTAGCATATATATATTCATTTATCTGAGATACCTCATTTTCAAAAGCATATAAAAGACAGTTTCAAGTATCAACACTAACTATTACATACAGGACGTTCATAGGCGGCATTGTGAATCATGTAATCAACACCAATACCGGGGAAGAAGGCTTCTGCTTTTTCTACAGCCTCCTTGAGGGATTCCTCTCCAGATGCCAAATCAAGGGGTAAAATCTTGACCTCGTTTGGGGCATGCTTTCCTAAAACAGAATTAAAAGAACTGATAGAACATATATAATAAGTTCATATTTATTGATACCACAAAATAAGTGTTAGAAGTATACCGCTAATTTGGCTTTTGACACGCTCCAATTCAGCTTCATTTCGTGCAGACAATATAAGTTTCGCCCCTAAGCTTGCAAACTGTTTAGCAAGAACCTCTCCTTCAAAATCACAATGGGGATGGATGTTAGGGCCTTTACATTTTCCTATCCTCCTCTTTCTCATGGATAATGGTAAACCATTTATTTCAGATTAGGGCAGTAATTATTGGAGATACGACCAAATAATGTACCGTAATCTAATAAGAGCACTTTAAAACATAACAATGATCAATCAATCCAATAACAACTAATGGAATTATGGGTAAGATGGTCTTGCAATAAGCTAACTCTTGATACTCGTACGATACTTCAACCCGAATAGTTACTCATACTAGTCATACATAGAAAGATTTTTGGCATTGTTATAGATTATTTAGAGTGAGATAGAATCATTCTAGACTTTGTGATCAAACAATCAATTCAACTCTAATCTAGAATCATAATAAATAAACTAATACTATATCAACAAATCAAGAGTTCAAACTTGCTATTCAAATCATACACATCATTTCAACAAACTTCAAATAATTTAATACTCCAAATTTTGATGAATATCAAACAAATAAATCAAAATTGATCACATACCAATTCCGCGGCTAGCTCCAGTAATCCAAACAACCTAAACAATGGAATCCAATCAAAATTACACTAATCTAAAAAAATGCGCAATACAAATTCACAACCCAATTGAAAACAAACAATTACCTTATCTTCGAATTCCTGGCGTTTAAGTTTCTTCGAATATAGGGTGAAATCAGCTGCAAAGAGTGAATTTGAACAAAATTAAACCGGAATTAAGAGATTCATAGCATAATTTGGGACTAACGAAGAAGAATTACCATCAATAACGGCGAATTTGATGATATATAGGATCACCAGAATAGGAAAGAGGATATAGAGAGACAGCATTGTTGCGCTCTAACGAACTCGAACTCACTCCTGCTTTTCTGAAGTCCTAGTCAATATATGGCTATATGGGCTATTTATAAATTACCAGGGGTGCCAATTTAGATAAACGATTCAATTCGGATTGGATGCAACGGTTCAAGCGTACTCCGTATAACGGATGGTTCACCGATTTTATTACTTATTTTAAATCATATCGAATTAAACCGAGTGATTTCCATGGATAAGTTTTAAAATTTCTTACATACCATCCACATCATATATTAAAATTGAATTAGCGGTTTTACCTTGCATAAACCGCTAATTCAATTAGCGCTTTTATATTATATTAAACTCACACTTTTTTGTAAGGTGACTTTTGTTACTCAGATAAATCGCTAATTGAGGGTTAGTTTGACATTACTGTACGTTTTTGTTTTTTGGTTTTTTGTTTTTTAAAATCATATAATACGGAGTATATGTCATATAATGAATCAATGATTAGTCAAACTTATTAAAATCATGATAATTTTGAAAACTAACAACAGAAAAGTGGAAATACCTTTTTCTTATTTCATGTTTTTGGTTTTTTGTTTTTTAAAAAAAACTGGAAACTAAAAACAAAAAACAATGTCACACAAGCCCTAAATTAGCAGGGTTTTTTTTTTTAAAGACATATTTAAATAGGATAGATGACATGGACGGTATGTACGAAAATTTTATAAAAAATTGTGTAACTGTGGAATTTTTATTTCTTTGTGCACATCACTCAATTAAACCAAATGAACTACAAATATAATAATTTGTATGTCAATATTAGATTAAATAGTAAGTTATTATTTTATCAAATTTTTAGGTCCATCATTTCCGCCAATTATCAATTTATCAAAATTATAATACGAGTTTATAAATTAATGAAAAATCCTTTTGTTATATAGAGTACATTCAGATTTTCTTTGTTTCATTTTATTCGTCTCAATTGTTATTTTTTACGATTTTCAATTTATGTATATAAGTATATATTTTTTACTTATGCATTAGTAAAAAATATTAATATTTGATATTTTGAAAGAAAGAAAACTTGATAACACACATATACGTTTATCTTGTACAGAGTAATAATCAAAATTCTTCATAATCGTAGTTAAAGTTCTCAGTAGATGAAGAGAGATGAAGAAATGAATTTAGTTACATGTTAGGGGGTAAATTGAAGCCCTTGCCATATGGTATGTTCTGATTTACTGAACTGAATTGATTGGACTGAGCTTAACTGAACTAAAATGAATATTTTATGAGAGAAGAAAATTAAAAACTGAACTAAACTAAACTGAAATTAAGCCGAAGAAAACAGACCCTAAGTGGTGAACCGGTGACATCACAAGTGACGCCAACTTTAGGTGATTGGACATTTTTTTTAATTAAGTATGGTTGTTGGTTATAATAATTGACCTTAATTAGGTTCTAATAATTTACCTTTTCAGTTTTCACCCAATTGACTCAACACCCTGAAGATTATCCAAAAAGCAACCAGTAAACTTAACCTGCGATCACTTCATAAATTACAAAGTAGAGCTAAAATGTTGCTTTGAAGCTCATTTATGTTATAGTTGCAATAAATTTCAAGGGACGGAGACAAAAAATAGTACCACGTAGGCAACTATGCTAACCTAGTGTCAGAAAAGTGTTGTAATATTAGACAATCGCAAGCATTGACAAAATTCTCAAGTATAATGTAGGGGCTTGGCTGAGATATTCTGAGCTTCAAGAATTGGCCTCATCATTTTCTACAGCAATTGTAACACCAACTTCAGCTGGTCGTATGATCCTGTCGTTAAGCGTGTACCCCGCCTGCATATGCCAAAAATAATTTACTTCACACATAGTCAAGGCAATCTGATACAGATAGGAGCTAAATTACATCACATCAACTAACATTCTTACATTATTTCTAGATCAGAGCACTGGACATTACCTTGAGGACAACAGCAACAGTACCAGGAGGCTTAGAATTGTCAGGAACTTGAAACACAGCATTATGCCTGTTAGGATCAAATTGCTCATCGATAGATTCATATTTCTCAACACCAGCTTTTCTAAAAACCTGAAATAATAATGCTCTCTTAGCAAGAATAATATGTACAAGTGAAGTGGACACCAAAATTAAATGAATTTATACAATCATGTGATCAAGATCAGATTTACCAAAACTTTATGTGGCAAATGGAGAAACATGATACCAGTACATTCAACAAAGTCAGCAGTATAAAATTACAAATAAACAGGTAAAATTTAAACTAAGATGATAGGTGAAAGAAGGAAGTGGAACTCATGGAATAAGATTCAAATAACTAGGTGGTGACTACAATAAATTAATTGTATGCTGGAAAGATTACCTCTGCAAGCTGCTTTTCTGTCATTTCTACACCTTCCAGCAGGGTCTTCAAAAGTGGCATTGCTCCAACATTATCCTGAGAGACATCAATTTTATTGACACTCTCTCTGGTAACAGAAGCTGCTCTGCCAAGGTTGTCTGCAACATCTAGTAGATTCTTCGCAAAACTCTGCAGTATGAACGCACAATGAGTCACAAAGTATTTCAGAAGCGCTACTAGAGAAAATGAAGTATCCGAATCATAGACACAAACCTGCACTGCAAATTTCTTTGAGTTCTCTGCATCGCGTCGTGTTCTTTCCATTAAATTCTCTAATTCGGCATAACTACGAAGAAATTTGTCTTTAAATTCAGCAAACTCTTTTTGTTTGGTCTCCAGGGTTTTCTCCTTCTCCAGCACAAGTTTTACCAGATCTTCTTTGGAAAGGTCATCCATGTCTTCCTCGGAATCTGAATCAGAAAAGGCAGTTCTTTTAGTGCCTCGACTCCGTCTTTTGACAAACTGAGACGTAGGTTGTGATTCTGAAGTGAAACCTTTTTCCTGACTTTGTGCAGAAGTCTCACTGTCTGCATTAAATCCCTCACCTGATTGCTTTGCACCATCAGCACCACCATTATCTCCTTTCTCAGCAGGTATCCCCTGCTCTAGTTCAGGAGATGCAGTGTTTGACATTCCACGATGTGGGAAAGCAACAATACTACATAGTCCATTTGGCAAAGGAGATGCCTAGCCAAAACATACAAAATAGCTTTATTTCGTAATTAAAAAATATAGAGAGAGCCAAAGACAAGATTACCATGCATTTAAAAAAAACAAAAGTAAATATACAAATTCACCATCAATGTGCGTTTAGTAAGGTCCATATCAGACATAAAGTTTTAAGCCCCTCAACTCTCACTTTAAAAACTAGTTACAATGGTGTTAAGGATAGGAGAAGCAGACTTCACATGTACAAATCACAGAGCCAGATAGCAGTAGCACTATGATCATACATGGACACCTAAAATCCAATTCTCATGGCAGCACCATATGAACATAATCTACAAGTATAAACTCTACAGGCCACCACAGATTTTAATGATAATTGAGAAAAAACTCTTTGAAGAGTTTCAAAAACTTAAAAGCTCTCAAGTTGAATTCAGCAGTAAAGAATGTATTGTTACTTAAGTAATATACAAAATTTTGAAACAAGAAAGGCTGGAACACAGGTAGTAGTCACGCCTCATGCCTCCACAATGAATTCCCCATAAAATGCAATCTACAGTTATATTATAGATGTATGAATGGTGATGAAAGGCGTTAAAATTCTTAACAAGGTAAGATATCTTAAGAGAAATAACAACTTCCACTTTAGAAGGGAATGTCAGACACTCAATACTTAACCTGTTTGATGGCAAATAACAAGGGAGTAGAAAATACTTTGGCAAAAAACTGAAAACAACTTTAAGCGGCAAATCTAAAATCACTCTCATTTTGAACATGTAATAACTCATGTTTGAGTTTTCAATCCTACAAAGTCTAATCAAAACCCAGCTATCAACCCTGTAAGAAATCCAAAACACAGGCACCCATCTTCTGGATACAGTTAATACCGTAAAAGACATGGGGGCAAGGAAGAGAACAAAGGTCATTCTGATCCTTACATGATTATGCTTATCACAAGGCGCACAAACTTACATTGAAGAACAAAAAGTAAAGCAGAGGGTAAGATAAGAATGTAGAGTGCTATTAGCAAATCTATAACATTAAAACCAACTTTGGTCGAAAAAAAATCACCGCAGCAACCCAACTAGATTATTCACTACCTTCTGGCAATCTGGGGAATATATTCCCTAAATAACGAAGAAATAAACTAACAGTCTAGGCACCAATAAGCAGGAAATTTTCCAATTTCCCTAGTAAACATTATATCCTTTATGACCTTAATGTATAACTATGTATTCCCCCTCCCAAGTGATAACCCAAAACAAGCTCCATTCTGCGCTTAAGATGCTCAAATCCATGATACTAGTAGCCAAGTTTGATCAAAGAATTATCAACTCAGCAACTCCACTAGATTATTCATTACTAGTAGGCAATAAAAGGCAGGATGTCAACAAGAAAGAAAAATAATTTGTCAATAAAATAAAGGATCCCAAAATTCCCAGTCACAAAAGCAGTTATCATGTAAAAAAAGGGGGGAAAAAGTAATGGTAATGGGTAGCGTATTTTTTGCAAGAGAAGTCCCATATCATGGTTTGTGGTAATGCAACTCTGTCCCCAACAAGTTTTTCTTGATAAATTTCCACTACCACTCAATACCATTTCTAAAGTAGTAATGGGTGGTGATGAAATATAAGTATCCATATAAAACGTGATGGTACCCTGGACAATGTCACTAAACTTCCCTTGCTAAATGCACAAAAACGAAAAAACCCATCAGATTACGGCCTACAATACAGGCCACAAATTAATATGCATCATTATTTGGCAAGCTACTAGCCCCAAGCCCCCAACACTTAGCAAGAGCAAGATAAAGAGATGAAAGTTAAATTCTAATCACTAAACTTTGCCAAGTGCATTAAGGCCCTTTTAGTTGAAGGGATTTGGCTGGAAAAGAAAAGAAGGGAAAATGTTTTAATATATTCTCATGTTTGGTTTGATAAATGACACGAGAATTTAAAGAAAAGAAAAGGAAGTGGGAGGAAAGCCTCTTTAC